GACCGATGTGCGGGCACCGGCGCCTAAGTCGCCGCTCGTCGCTTCGTCGGCCGACGATGTGCCGCGTTTTTCTTCCAGGGACACGGCGACTGGTTCCAGCCAGAACTCGCCGTGATCGCCGTGCAGCATACCTGCCTGAAACACAAAACCGGGTTTCGTGTTACCCAAACGGCAAACACACAGAGGCCGGCGAAACTCTCGTCGTGACTCGTGACGTCTCCCGGCGCGGCCGAATACGAATGGACCGTTTAGCTTGAAAGTGGCACGTACGTCATCCTGAGAGGCTTGTTAACTCTTGGCGACGTAAGGGCGAGAGTGTTGTCTCGATATTTTTAAGCTTCGCGCGTATTATCTTACGTTCACCAATTAACTTTCGGTATAATAAAGGGGTGTGTTTAATGTCAAGACTTCATATGAACGATACTTGGAAAGCTTCTTACCGCAGTAATCGCAGCACTAACGCAAGCTTAACTGCTAAAACTGATTATACAACATATATATATCGTGTATTTCAGAACATTTACGTCATCCGAAATGTCAACAGATCACTATGTCTAATTAAGCGTGGAAGTTACGTACTACGTTACAACGAAACGAATCGCGATCTTCAACGTGGGAAGAACGTCGAACGCGAGAAATGGTAAGATTTGCGGGGGCGGTAGTATCTCTTCGCAATTTTGCACACCGCCGACGGTGACGATATACGGAAATATTAATACGATATATAAGATTATAACAAACTTGTGAAAATGAAGCACAACTGGATTGGGGTGGTAGCGCGCATTTGGTATGAAATCTCTCCCTCTCTCTCTCTCTCTGTCTCATTTGGGTATTAATATTATATAAGTATGTTCGCCTTAAGTACTTGGAAATTGAGTTTCTACAGAGTTGGTTTATATCAGCGTATGCTACCGAGTATTATGCTTAGTTCCCGTGAAGTGTATAAGCACTTGAACGTGGAAAGGACACCGCTCGATATCGCGAGAGCAGAGGAGGATGTTAATGCAAAGCTTATTGAAACTTGCCGCTCATTATTTCAACCATCAATCGCTATATCTGACGGGAAACGGTGAGACCTGTCAGTGACCATAGGTGATTAATGCCAGAGCATAGCTACGGGCTAATCTGCAGCATGATCAACATCGATTCGCATTATTCTATTTCTTGTTACGAAGGTGTTAGAGTTCGGACCTCCGACGGCGCATCAGGCGTCATGGAACAAGTATCCCGAAGGTCCATGCAACGGCATAAAAAGAAGGCGAGAGGTCTAGAAGGTAGAGAAGATGAAGGCTTAGAAGTCGGGGATGACGTTTGCATATTTTATTGCTGTTGATTAACTCTCGGAATGAAACAATGTAAAACTTTTACGTAGACTAGAGAAGAGGATATGTAAATACATGCAGAAGAGAAAATCTAAATACACATTTAATTTATTTATGCTTATCTAATTGTTGTAATCGAGTAATTTTTCAACAAGTAATTGTTACGTGATATAGAGTAATTAGAAATTTATATTAATATTAATTATTTTATTGTATCTATATAATTATTAATTACTTATCTACTTATATAGTAATTAATATTAAACAAGATATCTTTTAAGACCGTAATGTTTTAAAACGCGACAAATTAGAAATAAAGATTCTAAATGGTGAAACTGAATCCTTAGAGCTTAATAATTCGGTGTAAATTTAAATACTTATATCCAATCCTGCAAATTGCGCGCCGAGTTTAATTTTAGTAATTAATTAATTACTGTAATAGTTACTTATATAAGTAGTACCTAATTAAAAATATTTTATTAATTAATTACTTTCCTTTCAGAATTTAAAGTTTTTTTTACATAAACAAAAAACAATATTGGAATACGTAATTCTATAATTTCATAATGCGATGAAAAAAGCATGATTGTGCTTTTCTTATTATCATTTTGATAAGCAAATATATGCAATATCTACCACGAGGAAATTTGATTAACAAACATTATTTTGGGCATGTATCATGAATAAATGGTAATATTTCATAAACAATATGCTATTAAAAATTCTATTTGCGCTTGTATCACCTGGCATACATATTAAAACCTAATAATCTAGATTGTTTTACACTGTACCACCGAAACGCAATATTATCATCGTTGGTGTCACGAGGCAGGTATTCGCGCTCCGACGAAATAAAACAACTCACAATGTGGAGCGAGAGAGGCTAGAGAGATAGAAAGAGAGAAAAAGAGAGAAAGAGACGGTAAAAGGGCTAAATATAGTCGGGCTGAGGTGGCGCTCACTATTTCGATTAGCCCTCGACGCAGACCGTGAAAAATCACGGCGCCAGACTCACAAAGGCGTGGAGGAGAAGGAGGAAGAAGACGAAGAAGAAGATGAAGAAGAAGAAGAAGAAGAAGAAAATGGAGGGCTTCGTCGTCGAAGGATTTCAAAGCGAAAGAAATCCGGCCATGACTCGGCTCGGCATGGGGCCTCGCGGCGTTCTCGCCTCCATCTCTTTTTCCTTTTTCCTCTTTATTGTGTCATCTTTGTTTTGTTGTGTGTGTGTGTGTGTGTGTGTGCGCGCACGCGCGCGAGCCTCTTTCTCTCCCTCGTCCCCTTCTCTTTTTTTCTTTTTCTCTTTTACGTACCCACAAATTTTGATTGGCCATATAAGGAATGATTTGTTCCCGCAATCCGTTTTGACGACTACAATAGACGGGCACTCGGACAAATATCTCGTCGTTAACTTCGTTAACCCTTTATGGCCCAAAAGAAGTTTGGAAAAAGCGAACAGTCGTTAAATATCTTGTCTTTGTTCAGATCGTATAGTCATATTGTCATATAATACGAATAGACATAGTCATAAAATTGTTCATTATTCCAAATGTATTCGGAGAGAAATCTGTCTCTTCGGAATTTATAACGGGTTAATAATCATGATTTCCGTTGATTCTTTCGGAAGGATTTATTCACCGATTATACAGAGTATGCTCGACAAAGACAAATATGACATCCGTAGATCGACCTGTGCGCTCTCATCCGAAATGAAATAATTGGGAGTTATGGTGCATATGTTACTTGCACTCTCGCGCGATATTTCATCCTTTAGTCGAGGAGATCTCCGATTCGCCGATATCCGCCGATAGGATTTAATTTAATAAATGCGACTTCTATTCGCTATTGGATTCTGCATTCGGAATACTTCATGTAAATCAAAAGTCTAGTCGTGTAGGAAAAATTTGAGTTATCGAAAATTCGTTACGTAACACAAATGTATAAATGAAAGTTCTATTATACTTTTGGTGATAAGATGTGCGAACAAATAATAAATTATTAAAAGTTTTCATCTTCGATATTTGATTAAATTGATTAATTATAGTTCCGCATCATTGAGAATGTATATACATTATATGAAATTATTATCGATTCTGCAATCTATTACGCGTTCACCGTCGTTACTATAGTCAAGAATTTGCTACCTCGGTTGAATATGCGACTAATTGGCAAGTAAATATATCTCTATACTTGCAAGACAGTTACCAGGAAGCGCTACTCGAGTATTTCTGTTTTTATTGGTATCCGTATTGTATGGGCTAACGGAGAATATATACGCTACTATCGTATTTCGCGGGATTCGATTAATTCCGCATATCGATCGATAATTTACGACAGTTTACAGTCGTGTCCTCCTCGGCGAAGGAACTTCTATCGTGACAGAATATATGCTGCGAATCTATTTTGCGTCATCTTTAATTGTCACGAGTGCTACGCTAGTCAAAAGTAAAACTCGAAATATAATAGATGTAATCCTTAATCAAGTCTTGCGAAATTGAAATTAGACCGACGACAATAAATCAAATAATGAAAATAATTTGATTTTTATTTAAAGCGGATCTTAGTGCTTAATAATACTAAATGCAAACCTCCCTATTGTGTTTCGGGATTGAAACTTTGATTCGTATAAAGCACCGATCGGTTTTTAATAAATCGTTATAATTACGTAAAATGTGACAAATTCGCGGAGCGCACGACAGGATCGCGAGTGTTTGAATTATTAATTGGGCTGCAACTCATTGCGAGCGCAACCCGGTCGACATAAATTACCAGTTCGCTAATCGCGCGACGCACACCCGCACTGCCGACGCAATCGATCGTGACGATTGCACAAATGCCGATCTGCTGGTAGGAGGAGTATACATATCGTGGCTGCGCACGTTATAGAAAAATCTATCGAGCGAGAAGCCCGTTTTACTCTGCGTTACCGCCGCGGTAGGCACGTTTCCCGAGAGTCGCGGACGCAACAAGGCGAATTCAATTAGCATAAAATACGTTCTTTCGCCGTGGTCGCAAAAGCATGCCGATCCTGGTCGGTCCATGGCGGTACCATGTTGCACACCTCCCTGCGTTGCCCGGCCCGGCCGGCGCGGCGCACCGACGATAGTTAAAGCGACTTTACCCTACAAACTAGACATACGCCGTCGCCGTATGTATAAATTATTATTGAACGACCAACGGGAAATATCGATGGGCGGTCGCAACACGGAGACACGTCGACGCCCATGTTTAGCGGTCGACGAGGCCTACGGCCAGGCTTTTACGACGCATATTTGCACTGTCTAAGCGCGTATTGGCTCCCCCGATGGTGATAGTTGCACGTACGCAAATATCTTCGCGCTTTGCCGCGCGGCTTGGTCGCTGTTAACAATCGTAAAAGACGATTAGGCTTGCCTCGATTGGCGAAACCGATACGATCTGCTTACGAGGTTCGGAGATTATCGTACTGCCGCGGTGATTGCCGAGGGAAATTAATTATCGGAATTCGCAGAAATGCTTGACCTCGTGTCGAATACGCAGCGTTAACTGGAATTCACTGTGCCATTGATAACGGTTTTACTGCTACGATTCATAATTCTAATTAAATTTTTATACGTTTCTTTACTTTCTCTTTGATGTTATTTAATCTGATAAATATAAATATAAAAATTAAGTAGAAAATTTAAAGGGCGAGTGAGAGTCAGAATATAAAAACGAATTTCTTAAATTATCATAATCAATATATTAATACGTAGATCTTAAAAATTAATGTAATAATAGAATTGAGATGATTACATAAATTAAATTATCCTTACGTGTGATAATTTAGTTTATGTA